GGTTGCATCACTCTGCTCTGGGCTTCCTTCACATCACCTTCTCCTTTCTTATAAGGACATTTGTCATTGATTTAGGGCCCACTGTAATTCAGAATGATCTCAAGATGCTTCACTTAATTACATCTACCAAAACCCTTTTTCCAGGTAAAGTCACATTCACAGGTTCACTGCAGATATGTCTTCTGGGGACCTTGCAACACTAGACTTACTTCATGGCTTGTGACTGAGTGAAAGGAACTCTCTCCAGTGCGTAACTTCAAGGCCACCACTGACAGAAAAGTGGCCCTTGATTAAACTTCAGGTCTGACTGTCACAGGGAGCCAATGGCAGCTACGTCAGAGCTGCGTTGCACCATCTTGAATCATAGTGAGACCTACAACTGCAAATGCCCCTACATTTTGCCCTTGTATAGAATTTCTCTTTGGGGGTTAAAAATGCACATCCACACTTAGTTTCTGACTAGGAGAGGAAAAGGAAAGAAAAACAGCAAAGTTCAGATCTCATGAGGCTGTGCCACACGTCTGTATATAATGTTCTCCTCACAAAGATGTTGTAGTGAATGCTTTGAACTGTCCCCATAAGGCATATGATGCGATTAGAATATCCAACAAGTTATTTTTGGAAAATAAGCTGAGTCCTAGTACAGAACACCCTTTTAAACCTGTAACCCTTTGTCTGACTTTGTGCCTTTCATTCTAGGCATGGTGTTGTAAGGCCTAAGGCCCCCAGCTTCAAAGAAGAAGACATCAGTGGGGAGATCATGGTTCTACTCTGGCCAAGAGATCCAGGCCCACTAAATCTGTCATAAGAATACCTTGATTTTTTGGTAGGGAAGAAGTATCGGGGATTGAACTCAGGGGCACTTAACCACTGAGCCACATCCCCAGCCCCATTTTGTATTTTATTTAGAGACAGGGTCTCACTGAGTTGCTTAGCAACTTGCTTTTGCTGAGGCTGCCTTGGAACTTGCAACCTCCTGCCTCACCCTCCCGAGCGACTGGGGTCACAGGTGTGTGCCACCATGCTCAGCCATAAGAATACTTTGTTAAGTTAAAATTCTCTTTTCTTCCACCCTATTATGACTTAGTTCTAAAAATGACCCCCAAAGAACTCATGTGTTAGGCAATATAGCAATGTTCAAAGGTGAGGCTTGTCAGTGGATTGATCCATTTGATGGATTAGCAATTTGAGTGGACTATTGGGTGATAATTGTAGGCAGGTGGAGCATGGCTGTAGGAAGCAGATCACTATGATTTTGAGGAATACCTCTTATCCCTGACTCCTTCCTTACTTTCTCTCTCTCCCCTCTGTCTCTCTGCTTCCTAGCTCCCATAAACTGAGCAGCTTTTCTCCTCTACCTCTTCAGCACAATGTTCTGCTTTACTTCAGGCCAAGAGCAATGGAATTGGCTGCCCATGCACCTGAATTCCTGAACTGTGAGACCAAACTAAATTTTCCCATCTCTTAAGTTGTTCTAGTCAGGTATTTTGGTCACAGTGGCAAAAAGCACTGTCTAACACAGAGACCATCTCATACCAGTTGAAAGAGGCTTGAGATAGATACTTTTCCAATAATGAAGACTCCTTTCTCCTCATTCTCTGATTTGCTCATCCCTCCCTTGAATCTCCTTACTCAGCCGGGGCCCCACTACCCACACTTTCCTCTGAAATCCCAAAGACTTTATTGATGCATCCTCTCATCACTGATGCTGGAGGGTAGATGATGCTAATTTCTTGCTCCCCCGTATCTCTGTCTGTGACTTGACCAATGCCAGTGCCATTTGAATGATACTGGAAGCCTCTGGTATTCCCAGAATTCCTTCCTCCACTCTAGATTAGCAGGAAGGCAGTCAGTTTCACAGAATTCGGGAGCTTCATAACTTTATGAATAGTTGTCTTCCACTGATTTTATTTATCTTGAAAACTGGTTGTTGAAGTTCCTTCCTTTGCCCCTTTAAAATAGCTTACTGGTAGTTTTATCATTTAGATCCCATTCTTGTTTCAGAAAAATAAAAAAGTAAAGCATTATATCTGGGCATCTGACCGTTTTTATCTGTGGCGAATGCCGTAATCAGAGAATCAGTGTGATAGGGACTGCCAGGCATCATCGCTCCTCTCCTCCGTGGCTCCCTCCCTAGTTCCCTCCTTAGGAAATGATTCTCTTGCAACCTGGGCGGGTGATGCACCCCCACCCAGCCGTGGTTATTGTCAAATGCATGAGTCAGTGGCAGAGAACAGCTCCTTCATCCCTCCTCAGTGGCCTCTGCCCATCATTCACGCAGGGCCAACTTCAGTCAGGCCCTGCTCACCTGCTTTTGCAAGTACCAAATCCTCTCATCGGGCCTCTGTGGATTATCATCTCCATTTTCAAACAAGAAAACTGGGGTCCTGAGGGCTGCCCAAGGTCATGAATGGACCCCAGCTGCCTGGCTTCAGAGCTCATTCCTTTGAACACTGTGCCAACCTGCTACATCATGGGGCTGATCTCTTAAGGCAGAAGGGCCACACTGTTGTCTGGGTGAAGGGCCACACTGCTGCCTTTAAGAAAAGAGTGAACATCTTAATAACATGCACTTTGAACATTCCAATGTAGAAAGCAAATTATTGCACAATCAATATGGTAAGAATCCCATGGGTTAGGATAAAGACACTATTTTGTGGGTGGGGTGGGTGCGGGTACTGGGGATTGAACTCAGGGGCACTCGGGGACCACTAAGCCACATCCTCAGCCCTGTTTTGTACTTTATTTAAAGACAGTGTCTCCCTGAGTTGCTTAAAAACTCACTTTTTGCCGAGGCTGGCTTTGAATTCACAATCCTCCTGCCTCAGCCTCCCAAGACGCTGGGATAACAGGTGTGTGCCACTGTGCCCAGCTTAAAGATATTTTTTTTAAAAATCCCTGTTTTACTCATGAGGAAATTGAGAGTTCCGGTATCTTGATTTGCCTAAGGCCACCAGTTGGTAGGTGGAGACTTGAGTCCAGTGCTTCTGTCCCTAAGTCCAGGCTCCTTTCTACAGCCCAGGAACATACCTCCCCTCAGATGCCGAGACAGTGCCTACTTGGTCTGCTTTGATCACTTAGAGAAAACTCGCTTCCCCTAAAACATCTTTTGCACCTGCCTGGCCCCTTGTCTGTAGTCCCTCTGCCAAACCTGCCTCTGCTAGAACCCGACCCTGCAGGGGATCTTCCATTCATCAGTGTGGCCAAGGTTCATTCTCAGGATCTGAACTAACTGAGGTGCTCACAGATTCAATGTTAATAGAATGGATGGATTTGTTCCCAGTTAGTTTTCCCCAGAAAATTCCAGTGAGAATGCAAATGTGTCCCCTGGCAGAGAGGCCTGGAATTTGTTTATTGATTCCCCTCTGGGAGAACAAGGTTTGGAGGAATGAGCCTTGATAGGGCAAGAGGAGAGAAGAAGGGAAAGCCCCTGGGGGCAGTGAGCCCTTGGCAAATCAAGTGCAAGGTGGAGACCCCAGACCCCCATGGAAGAAGGAAAAGAAGCAGTCTTGGTCCTGGGGAGGGACAGGGGTAAGATAGGCCCTACTGGCTTCAGTTTCACCCTGGGTTGTCTGTTCCGTGGGAAACAGTGAGTCCAACTCCTCCCCAGCACACACAATGGGTGAGGCTCACTGCTGGGGGTCCAAGGCTGGATTCTCCCCAATCCCAGAGCAAGGGCCAAAAAAGTGAGTTTCCCCAAGAAGGTCCAGAGAACTTGCCCAGATACCCCCCTATTTAGGCCAGGGTCTCCCTTCCTCTTAACAGTACACTGAGAAAGGAGAGGAAGTGCCATCTCCTCACCCCACCCGAGTTCATCAAATGGTCCTGCTTCTTGCCCAAGGCCTTTCTCTACGCATTGACACACATAGGTTCATATTGTACACAATGATGGGACCTTGCTCTGTAGATCTTTCTGTGACTTATCTTTTCCACGTAAATACGTAAACACGTTGGACAGCTCACTGTCAATTCACACATTAGATGAGCTGTAAATCTTTTGAAAATAGCTGCATTGCATTTCATCATCCCACATACCAGACATACCACCATGTCCTGAGCCAGTCTCTCTCCCTGGAGAACAAGAGAGCTGCCTCCAGGTTGTTACCATTGTGAATATCGCCACAACCCGCACTTACATAAAGCCATTTACATAGAGGCACATGGAGCAACTGTTTATTTTGAGAGATTCCCATGGTCCTCTGCGCTCTCTCCCCTTAGTCTTTACTGAGGAAGGGAGTGTATTTCTCCTGGACTCAGCTTTAGAAATCTAGTTCCATGCTGCCCTCCCAACTGTGCCAGGGCAGCGAGTGAATCATTTCACCCGGTTTCTGAGCCAACCTCAGTGAAAATGACGACGAGTGAAGATCCTGACCCGCAGTCATCACACAGGTGGCCTCTGGCCTCCTATTCCGGAGAACGGAGGCTTCCCTGCATCATTTTCTGTAATGCCAAAGGAAATCCCCAGAGCAGGCGGACTCCCTGATGCCTCACGGAAGGCACTCCCACGGAGATAACCGGATGAATGCTTTCTTCATCACAGCCCCTGGTTCTCAATGGCCTCCCGGCTGCCAAGAAACCTTTCTGAGCTCATTGCCGCTGTGGCAGCCAGACTGCACTTCCTAGAAAATTGTCATTCCATTGACTGTTTACTCTTGGGGCGGATCACTGCTTCCCATAAGCTCTTGCAGCCCTAAGGTAGTCTTTTGGTAAATCCCACCAGGTGTCTACACGAAGGGGAAAAGACGTTCTGTATTTTACATTCTTGATTTTTTTTAATGTGTCAGAGAAATGGAAGTCATGGTCCTATTTTTAGTTCATGCTAAAAGCAAGCAATGGACAATTCTAGCAAGGGAACTCAATGCTGTGTCACAATCACTCTCGCTCCCTCTCTAGAAAGGTGGTGCACTGCTTGGGATGTGAAAAGGACAAGGAAATAGTTCCTTCCTAATACATTTCTCATGCATGTCATTGACAGCTTTGATTTTTTTTTTTTAAATCAGCCTTCGTAGAGACTATCAAAACTCGACTGTGCTGACCGTATTGCAAGTTGTCATAGCAGCGTGTTGGGAAAAGTTTTCAATTAGCAATAACTGAGCCTCAGATAAACCTTATTGGCTATGATCCTGCCGCTGCACAAATCTCACAGTCTCGATTTTTGCCAAACACTCTATGAACCACTTATATTAGTTCCTTGTCAGTTTAATGACTTTTTTAGTTGACATAGCTTCATCCTCATGAACATCTTATACAATGGGTTGGGTGTGCTGATTGGGTTTCAACACATATCAAAAATTTAAATGTTGCCCATCACCTAAAATACTCTAGAATCCAACCCAGTGGCACACTCTGAAAAAATCAGACCTTATTGGATCGCAGACTCAAGTTTTCTATGGGGAAGTGGTCTGAGGCTAGTATGGGTTGATTACTACTAAGACATTGAGATACTGCCATTTGTCTTTGCAATTGCAATTTTTTTTTTAAGGTACTGGGGATTAAACCCAGGAGCACCTAACCATAGAGCCACATCTTCAACCATTTTTATTTTTTATTTTGAGACAGGGTCTTGCTAAATTGCTTAAGTTCAGGCTAAATTGCTCAGGCTGTCTTTAAACTTGAGATCCTCCTGCCTCAGCCTCCCTAGTTACTAGGATTACAGTTGTATGCCACGGCACCTGACTTGTCTTTGCATTTTAATGCATTTACTGTACTACAGATCCAAAAATCAGGAGTCGAGAGGGTTGGAAAAATAATCTATGTTTTGGAAGGTAGAGCAGCTTAATGAAAAAAATGTGTGGACTTTGGAATCAGGTCTAGATACACACCTTAGTGTCATTACACAGGTTCCTCATTTGTAAAGAAGGGATAGTGATAGCCACTTATAAACTGAGATAATAGATACAAAGTGCCCGGGGGAGGGAAGGTATCAATTACCCTGTGGCAGCTAGCAGGGCCTCCGTGCAAGTGTAGATGTGATAATCACCCAAGATAGACCCAGCCCAATAGCAGTGTAGGCTACCCCTCCTACAGGGCCTTCTAAAGCATTGATGGAAAAAAATCAACAGCCTTTGAAAAAGGTTTCCAGTTATGAAAAGGTCAAGCTCCCTAAGGTTTAAGATAAGGCACTATGAGTTTCTTGGGAAACAACTGCCTTGAAGAGCTTTGGAGAACAGCAGGAAGTCCTCCTGTTGATGTCCTGAGCTTCTGTACAGTGAGTGACATAGGGGTTAGAAAATAAGCTGAAACACTGGGCATCTCTTCAAAAAAAAGGTAAAGGCAAGGTTCCAAGTGAAGTACTCATTAGATGGGAGAAGGCAATATAGTGTCACAGTGAAGGGTATGGATTCTAGACCTGGTGCCTGGGCTTCAATCCTGCTTCGACTGCACACCAGCCCTGAACCAGAAATGCAAAGGCCCTGGGGTGGGAGCATGGCTGAGGAGTCAGGGACATCAAGGAAGCTGACATGCTGCATTGGATTGAAAGGAGCGTAGGGGAGGGAGTTGTAGAATCTTGTGCCTTGTGAACTTATAGGAGGAGGCAATTGTGGAGAGCATGACGGGAAGGCTGCTCTCCCCGCTACATTCCGGACAAGTAAGGGGTTCACTGGGTCAGGTGGCTCTGCTTACAGCCTCTGGGGCTGGGAGGATAAAGCCTGGCCTCAGAGACAGTCACAGCTGGCTGAAGCATGAGGCTTAACAATGATAGAGAATGGCTCGGAAGTGCTGTCTGGCTGCGGCAGCAACAGCAATGAGCTGAGAAAGTTTTTTTGGCAGCCAAGGGAGGCTGTTGAGAATAGATCCATGATTGTACTCGGGGAGTATGGTGGGCATCTGGGGGCTCTCCTAAGCTGACCTAATTTTAAGTGCAGTGAAATGTCTTATCCTTTTACGTAGGGAATGGGGAGAGACAAAGAACCCTTAGGACAACTGGTCAGGCATACCCCATACCTCCCTCTGTGCTGGGCCCCATCTTTCTCAAGAGCCCCCCACATGGCATGGATTCCTCCCGGCCTAGCCGAGCCGACAGCCATGGCTGTGGAGGACAGGGTGAGGGGATGGGAAGGGTCACATCAGCTGAGTTCCTGCAGCTCTCACCCAGTCCTCCACTCCCACCCCCCACCACCATAGGAGATGCGCTCAGATGTGGTGGCTGAGAAAACAACTCTGCTTCCTGCGGAGCCTTCAGAAGTCCACGCCCAGTCTACCGCGGCACATTTTTGCAGCTGAAGGAGAAACTGCTGGAAATAGGAGTTTCCCTGATGTCATTGGGGTGATGCTGACTGTGTTCTCCCAGAGACACCAGGGAGTTGGCTCAGGAAGGGCCGGGTGGGAAGTGTGCAGCTTTGGACTGATGCTCTGGGCTCTTCACAGAGGGAGGTGAGGTGGAGCTCCCGGTTGACTGAACTTTCACCTGCCCTTAAGGGCACCAGAAGTTCTCATCCTCAAACGGAGGTTCAGGAGAGCAGAGATTTAGAGATAGGGACCAGCCGGGCCATGAGAACCTCTGAATCCTCCTGGTCTCTTCCTATCCTTCTTCCTGTCCTTCCCCCCCTTCTCTGCCCTTTTGTCCTGTGGACTCATCTTGGTACATCTGATTTCTTTTCTTTTATTCTTCTGGGTCATGATCTCATTTAGAGAGGCCTAGAAGACTGAGAGGACCAACAGAGGAGAAGCAGCTGATTCCTGATGGGGCAGGGAATGTCCAAAATGAGCTTGAGACTCCTGACTGTGCCCGAAAGCACAGAAGCTGTCAAAACCGGCCGAGGAGCCTGCTGGAGAGACCTGTTGGCCAAAGACACAGAATTTTTAACATCAAAAAGGAATAATGGCCTGGCGCAGTAGAGTATACCAGGAATCCCAGCTGCTCAGGAAGCTGAGGCAGGAGGATGGCAAATTCAAAGCCAGCCTCAGTAAAAGCAAGATGCTAAGCAACTCAGTGAGACCCTGTTTCTAAATAAAATACAGAATAGGACTGGGGATGTGGCTCGGTGGTCCAGGGCCCCTGAGTTCAATCCCTGGTACCGGCCCCCCCCAAAAAAAATGAAAAAGAAAAACAGAATAATGACTGAATAATGACTGCAGTGTACAGAAAGGTGGCAATATAGAAATCCATGAGTTCATAATGATAAGAGAAGAACTCCTCTTTGGTCACTATCAGAGGTTGCTTGAAATTCTCATTTCTCTGAGAATTGACAGAGAAGAATAAGCCTGTGTTTCACCATTTCTGTGTAAGATATATTTCCGAGTAACCAAAGAACTGGTGATATAGAATTCATCTTTATGTAAGAACTCATCCTAATACATGCAGAAGGAAGAGTAGAATTAGAAAATTATGATTTTGAAATCCCTGATAAAAGAATGGATTTGGAAGTGCTCATCAACAGATACTAAAACCATTTGGAGAAATGTTGACAGCATACTTTAAAATAGGAACTATGCAGCAACCTTAACCAGGTTGCCCATACCCCGCAGCCATTCAGGAGGCTGAGGCAGGAGGATCTCTTGAGCCCAGGAGTTCAGGACCCGCCTGGGTAACATAAAGAGACCTTCTTTCTTTAAAAAGGCAAAACAGGGGTAGAGTGCTCGCCTAGCACATACGAGGTGCTGGGTTAGATCCTCAGCACCACATAAAAGTAAATAAATGGGGCTGGAGATTTGGCTCAAGCGGTAGCGCGCTCGCCTGGCATGCGTGTGGCCCGGGTTCGATCCTCAGCACCACATACAAACAAAGATGTTGTGTCCGCCAAGAACTAAAAAATAAATATTAAAATTATCTCTCTTTCTCTCAAATAAATAAATAAATAAATAAATAAAAGTAAATAAATAAAATAAAGGCATTGTGTAAAAAAATAAATAAATATATAAGGCAAAACGGAACCCTCAATAACAGCAACCTCTATTCTTTGTATATAACAATTGTTTATTGTAGTCTGATTAAGCATCTGGATCTGCCCCATCCAATATGGTCCTTCAGCACTTGAAGTGTGGCCTTTCTGAATTGAACTTGTGCTTTAAGAGCACAATGTACATCTGATTGTGTGTGTGTGTGTGTGTGTGTGTGTGTGTGTGTGTGGTGCTGGGGATTGGACCCAGGGCCTTGTGCATGTGAGGCAAGCACTCTACCAACTGAGCTATGTCTCCAGCCCATACATCTGATTTTGAAGACTATTGAAAAAGAATATAAAATATCTCACTTATATTTTATATTAATTGCATTTTGAAGTGCTAGTATCTTGACTATTTTACATTAAATAAAACATTTTAAAAATGACTTTACCCATTTCTTTTAACTTTTTAGATGTGGCTGGAATTCTATTCCCACTGGACACCACCACTTACTCTTAAGTCAACTCCACAGTTTACAGAAAATTCTGGCCCTAGTGGAACTAGTTAAACAACGCCAAAAGGAAACAAGTCCAGAATGTGGGGGAATTCTACCAGAAAATGACTGACGTTTTTAGGACAAATAAATAGTTTTAGAATAAACAGAGGAGGAGTGGCTTTCGATGAAAATAGATATAACAACCAGGTGCCATTAATGTATGAAACTTGTTTGCTTCCCAAACAAACAGTTGTAAAAAGGGACTTTGGGAATAATCTGGAAAACTTGAACATTGGGACTGGGTATTTGGTTATATTAAGGGTTTACTGCTCATTTTGTTATAGGTGATAATGGCATCATAGTTATGCTTTTAAGGGTTAGAGGCGTCTAACTGAGTGTTTGTGAGTGAATTCATATGTCCTCTGGGATTTGCTTTAAAGTGCTTGCAGTGAACAGTGTGCTAGATGGATGACACCAGATTGACAAATGACAGCTCCTGTTAAAATGAGGTGATGAAGCTGTGGAAGTTCCTTACATTCTCCTCTCTCCTTTTTATATGTCAAAAAGTTCTAGAGTTTAATTATGATAGACAAATAATGTGTATCTATATCCATAATATATAATGCTACCTTTAATACTATATTTATTTAAAGTATTTTTTATAATACTGTTATAGTGAATTTTGATGCTTCCCAGACAATTTTGATTTTAATTTTGTATGTATTTTTGGCACTGGGAATTGAAACTGGGATCTCCTGCATGCTAAGCGCACACTTTACTATTGGGCCACACCTCCCCCCACCAATACCGCCATTTTTAATT